AGTGCCCCAAGGTTCGGTTCTAGGACTGGTTTTGTTCAATATCTTTATTAATGATCTGGATGAGGGTATGGATTGCACCCTCAGCAAGTTTGCGGATGACACTAAGCTGGGGGGAGAGGTAGATATGCTTGAGGGAAGAGATGGGTCCAGAGTGCCTTAGACAAATTGGAGGATTGGGCCACAAGAAATCTGATGAGGTTCAACAAGGACAAGTGCAGAGTCCTGCATTTGGGACGGAAGAATCCCAAGCATAGTTACAAGCTGGGGACCAACCGGTTAAGTAGTAGTTCTGCAGAAAGGGACCTGGGGGTTACAGTGGATGAGAAGCTAGATATGAGTCAACAGTGTGCCCTTGTAGCCAAGAAGGCTAATGGCATATTAGGTTGCATTAAGAGGAGCATTGCCAGCAGATCCAGAGATGTCATCATTCCCCTTTATTCGGCTTTGGTGAGGCCGCATCTGGAGTATTGTGTCCAGTTCTGGGCCCCCCACTACAAAAAGGATGTGGACGCATTGGAGAGGGTCCAGTGGAGGGCAACCAAAATGATTAGGGGGCTGGAGCATATGACTTATGAGGAGAGGCTGAGGGACGTGGGTCTGTTTAGTCTGCAGAAGCGAAGGGTGAGGGGGGATTTGATAGCAGCCTTCAACTTCCTGAAGGGAGGTTCCAAAGAGGATGGAGAGAGGCTGTTCTCAGGAGTGACAGATGGCAGAACAAGGAGCAGTGGTCTCAAGTTGTGGTGGGAGAGGTCCAGGTTGGATATTAGGAAAAACTATTTCACTAGGAGGGTGGTGAAGCACTGGAATACCTAGGGAAGTAGTGGAGTCTCCATCCCTAGAGGTGTTTAAGTCTCAGCGTGACAAAGCCCTGGCCGGGTCGATTTAGTTGGAATTGGTCCTGCCTAGAGCAGGGGGCTGGACTTGATGACCTTCTGAGGTCTCTTTCAGTTCTACGATTCTCTTCTTGCTCCTCATACAACTTAGAAAACAGCTGCATCTGCTGAGAAAGGGTTGTTTCCAATGTCCCTTCCATATCCTTTTCCAGTTACACAAACTTAATATCAGCCTTCACTTTGAGTTTTATTATTGAAGCTTATGGATCAATTTCTGATCTCTTATGGTTATGCAATTCCACTGAAGTGAGTGGGCCTAATGCGATGAAAGAAGAATTTACCTCTGCTAATAAAATACTCTTTCACCCGTACAGACTTGTGCTCCCTAAAGAATTTTAGGAAGATCTCTTGAACTTTCACTCTCCTTTGCACATCAGAGCTAAGGTACACTTCACATTCAACCACAGGAGACAAAGACACAACCTTAAAAAAGAAAGCATTTATCCCATTAATTCCCACTAGATGCTAGAATGAAATGCTTACACATTAATAAAGATGATATCTTATCCTTTTCATCAACCAATTTCTTGCTGAAGTTTTTTGCAGATGATTGTATTTTCCATTAGCAGGCTTTTTTACCCTCTGAACTTATGAAAGTATGCAGTAAGTGATTGTGTTTTTAATCCACCAGTTTCTGCCATTTTAAAATTGTTTACATCTACAACTCTGCCATTTGTAACTTGAAATTAAAACTCTGAAAGTGTCAAGGTGTATCCTTGAACATCTGAGCCTTAATTTTATCTGGCAATAAAATCTCACTCCAAGTTCTGGTTTCTTTGTAGGAATACTGCCTACATAGCACTACAAAGTACAAAATTTCCCAAAAGGCATTGGTGGGTGACTGAGTGGTTATTTCTTCAATGGGAGCAATCATATAAAAATCACAGACTCTGTCAGCTAGACAATGCTAATTATCAGCTAAACACCAAATAATTACAGAGCATAGGAAGCTCTCTCTTTAACCTAAAAGCAGAATTAAAAAGGGCATTAGCCAAACAAAACAAAACAACATACCATGAAAACAGCTGACTGGTACTCTGAATGAGCCAGCAAGAAGACTAGGATTGCAAAAATTCAGTGCTTGCCAACAGTTGCCCAACTGCCTTCTGAGACGTTTTAAAAATAAGGAATGTGTGTTCATGCACACATCCTGGGAAAAGGTTGATATGGGGCTAACATGGCCAATGTATAAGTCTGCTCACACCTGTAAGGCAGATGTCAGGCCTAATTAAAATTAGAGCCCAGCTGGGGAAGGGTAGGATTTGATGCCATCAAAAACTGGATGAGCCCCTTGGTAAAGAGATGACTTGGGAGTGGGAATGATAGAAAGTTTGTTCCCTATTAAGCCACTTGAAAGGTGTCTGGAAAGCAAGGCTAGATAGGTAGCTACTTCAGGAAGGAGCTAGAAGCCTGACTGGAGGCCGTAACACTGTGGAAATGTAGGTTGCCTGCACTTGAGTTGAGGAGTAACGGTAGTTCGGACTAGGAAGCCTAGTCCGAACTACCTAGTTCGTGCCGCGTGTAGCCGCGCGGCACGGGGTTCGAACGAGCAGGGATTTAAAAATGGCGGTGCCCAGTTTATGCAAATGAAGCCCAGGAAATTCAAATCCCGGGCTTCATTTGCAAGTGCGGTATGTCTACATTACCCTCCTAGTTTGAACTAGGAGGGTAATGTAGACATACCCTAATGGTTTCAATATGGAAATACTTGCAGTAGGTGGAGGAATGGGATCAAGTGTACCATCCAATCAGAACAGCAGCAGTTCTGGCTCTATAGAGGACTCATCTCAAATCCATTCAAGTCGAAGGACAGACTCTGGCTGTAGGCTTAGGAAAGTCCATAATGCACACACTAAGTACTTTGGCAGCAGCGACAAATATTGCTATCCTGGTTTTATCATGAGATATGCATGCATTGGAAAAATGGAGGGCACCTATGCTACTTTTCCATGGTCAAACATGACCACTAGAGTTGGGGAGGTCACACGTTTGCTGAACAGCTGCATCTAGTTTTCTAATTCTACATGCTGCATTTAAAGCAAAACTGAGCCAATTAAGATGCTGTTAAGAATGACAAATAAATGTCATGTCATATGCAGTTTTGTTGTAAGGCCACCACATTTATGACGCAGCATTATTTCAAATTAATTTACAGAAAACAAGTCTCCATTGTTATATTACCAGATGTAATTGACAAACTTCTGAACCATGTGAAAAATAAAACCGGCATGTGATATCAATTGCTCTCTAAAACATCACTGAACTTGTTTCTCTGAGGAGTGGTAGGAGAGAAAGAAGCCTGGTCTTGGGGTTAAGGCACTAAACAGGAACTTAAAAGATTTGTTGTCAACTCCATACCTTGTCACTGACTTCTTGTAGGACCTCTGGCAAGTCACTTACACTGGAATTTTCAGAGGGCTCAGCATCCCCATTTGGGGCAAGATTTTAGAAATACTTAGCCTCCCATTTTAGGGGCCCAAATAAGTAGTTAGGTTTTTAGAAAAGCTCAGAACTTTGGGCACTTGATCTTCATAATTTAAAATGAAAACAGCTGGTCTTAACCCTGGCCTCAAGAGCTCTTGAACTGCAAGCCTCTGCTTCAGAGCTGACCAGGATTAGCAATGATCAGAGATCATTACTTGATTGTGTTAAGCGGTCCATGTTAAATATGTTACTGGCCTCCACTCATTTTTTACATGACCAATTTCTATATCACAAGTTCCACAACTGGCACCTTTGCTGGGAATCTGAGCTCTTCAGCCTTCATACCCATTTAGTTTATAATTTTAGGATTCCTCATGTTGGTATCTTCAGGTCCCTGTCAGTGTTCCCTGTAAGCTGTGCTCATATGTGGCTACTCAGGAGAGATTAAACCTGTTTAGCAGAGTGCCCAAAACTAGGTTTTTTGTTTCTACTGGTGGTTCACATTTTCACATGCTGTGGTGTACATAAAATAATATATTCTGAACAAGGATGGAAAATATTACAGGGGACACTGGTCACTACTGAAGTATTTAGGACTCAGCAAAGTTCAGATTAGAACATTATTATATGGTTGCTCTTCTTTCATTACTGATAGCCAATGCTATCCTTCTGCTAGGTGGCCTTCTAAGTTAGTTTCACAATGGAGAAGAAATCAGTGATTTGGAATCTGGATATATTCTAGTATAAATGGCTTTGTTTATGCATACATAAGAGGAGTGGTCACACACAGCCCTGACTCCCAAGGCATTATCCTGCCTCAAGAATTATCTCCATCAGAGAGACCAAGGCATAGAGGAAACTCTCCCCTGCTGTTTGACACAGCTTCTCTGCACACAAAAACTTGTATAATAAAATGATCATTATCACAGCATTTCCTCCAGGGCTAAAAGCTTGCTTGCATTACTAACAAACAACTTGGAAAACTATGTAACAGAGCAAACTGGGGAGATCTATAATTACTATACTTTGGACAGACAATTTCAAATATTTATTGTTGTATTTAATCTTAATACATATTGTAACACCATGAGCTAATAGAGTTAACAAGGGACAAGAAGTTTAGAACTATGAGTTCTAGTCAATAATCTGCCATTAACTTGCATTGTGACAATGAACTTCATTTAGCTAGTTAACCATTTGAAGAGTCTGTAAGTACAGGCATGTGTAAGAATGAAGTGCATCTGCACATGCTACAGAACTGGTAAGTATTTTGCTAGGAGTAAACAGATTCAAGAGACTTTAGGCAGACTTGCAGACAACACTTAATATTGTCAGTATCTCTCTATATATAAACAATTTTCTCCTGTGGAATGACAGAGTGATATCATCATGTCACTCTGCATCCACAGGAACAAGCCCCACCAGCTCCCAGCCTGGCTCTTCCCAGGGCCCGCAGGGAGGGCTGGGGCTGCCTACAGTCTGGCCCTCCCCTCCCCTTTCCTTCCCTTCCCAGTGGCCAGGGGGAGAGCCTCTCCCGGTGGCTGGGGGGAGAGTTGGGCCTGGTGCAGCTTGGACTTGGATCCTCCTGGTGGCTGGGGGAAAAGCCAGGTGCAGCTTTGGCCCACCATCTCAGCGGCCAGAGAGAGAGCCAGGTGCCACCTTGCCCTGGCCCCCCTCCCCACCGACTGTGTGTGTGGGGGGGTGAATTCAAAAAGCTGGGGCCGGGAGGCGTAAGGGGCCAAAAAGGGCCCCAAAGGCCAGGGAGGCCTTGGGACTGGGTCCTCCCTGGCAACCAGGGACAGGAGGGAAAAGCTGGGACCAGGGCAGCCTCTGACCCTCCCCAGCAGCAGAGGGAAGGGGAAAGCGGAATGCTTGGCCCAGCACAGCCTCCGCTCAGCTCTTGACAGTGGCTGTGGAGGGGCGGGGGAAGATCTAGGACCCGGTGGGGGGCCCCAAAAGCCTGGGGCAGCCTCAAGGCCTGGGAGACTTTGGGGCTTGGCCCTCCCTAGTGACCAGGGGTAAGAGACAGGGCCAGGATGGCCTCGGACCATCCCCTGCGGAGAGGGAGGAGGGGGGGAAGATCCAGGGGCAGGTGGCCTCAGCCCTGGGCTCTCCTCAGCTGAAAGGGGGGGTTGGCAAGCACAGTGAGCAGGGGGCACAGCCCCCTGGTATACTGTATGGCTGTGTCTAGACTGGCAAGTTTTTCTGCAAAAGCAAGTGCTTTTGCGGAAAAACTTGCCAGCTGTCTACACTGGCCGATTGAATTTCCGCAAGAACACTGACTTCCTACTGTCTGAAATCAGTGTTTCTTGTGAAAATACTATGCTGCTCCCGTTCGGGCAAAAGTCCTTTTGCGTAAAAGCTTTTGCACAAAAGGGCCAGTGTAGACAGCTCAGATTTGTTTTGCGCAAAAAAGCCCTGATTGCGAAAATGGTGATTGGGGCTTTTTTGCGGAAAAGCGCGTCTATATTGGCACGGATGCTTTTCCGCAAAAAGTGCTTTTGCAGAAAAGCATCCATGCCAATCTAGACGCTCTGTTCCGAAAATGCTTTTAACGGAAAACTTTTCCGTTAAAAGCATTTGCGGAAAATCATGCCAGTCTAGACGTAGCCTATATGTTTGTAAGAAGTAATGTAGTCTGGTGGCTAGGCCAGCAAAGTGAAAGTCAGCAGATGTGGATTCTGTTCTTAGCTCTGTTGTATGACCTTGGGCACGTCATTTCTTTCTTTGGTCTATATAGACGGGCAGCTCTTCAGGGCAGAGGTCATCTCTCACTATGTATTTGTATAGTACTTCATGCAATGAAGCCCTCATTTCAGTTGAGTCCTCTAAGCAACTACTATAATACAAATAATTATATTAAAAGAACATTTAGGTTGCAAAGACAAGCAGTGAAAAGTTAAGAACTGTACCTTTATGCATATATTTTATGACCCAGTTTCTAGTTACATGATCTCATACTATGTTGTCCCCTCAGAACTTGCCCCGTTCAGTGCACAGATGTGCTATGGCAATGAATCGGCATTAAGTAGCGAATGGGACTGGTATCACTTGTACCCTGACCCCTTTGTTGCAAAAGCTGGAATGTATACAGTGAATGATGAAGGGAACCAGATGAGGAGAAAGGACAATCTTGTTAAGATAACTGGCCAATCAATTTTTCTACCTGACTCTACCAGATATTAGGTGAGTAACTTGCAATACAATTATCACAATTTGTCACAATGTGTTCCTCATTTTCCTAGGTACTCTGACCTCCAGGAGTGCACCTGCTGCTACCTGATTGGTTATTTTAGGATTCACATGATGTTCAGTTGCCTGTGTCAGTCTCTAACTCAGTTGTTTGCGGTTTTGGAGGTTCTACTGTATGGTAAAGAGCCATTAACCCATGTCATTTAGAATAAGGAAGTTATATCATTAAATAAATGGCATGGCCTATTTTGTTGATAGTATGAGCCTAACAAATGCATCTTAAAGCCACTGTACAGTCTCCCACTTTACATTAACATTATAGTAACATTATCCTAAACACTGTTACAAACACATCATGAGAGACTGGCACTACCCCCCAAGAATTTACAATTCAAGACAAGATAGACCAAGTGCTATCTAGGGAGAAATAGAGAGGAAGGAGAGCAAATGTCAGAGTGACAGAACTACAACACTGACTGCTTAGGTGCACAATTAGATAATGTCAAGTGAAACACAGAAATTTTTGGTTCAGTTAAGATATAAATTAGAAACTGTGTTGATATCAGTATTCTTCACTGAGCTTCTGCTTTGCCATCACCACTTTCATCGGCTTTAAATGTTTTTAAATGGATTGTGGAAATAGGAGGAGAGAAAGAAATTGATTGCTCGATCTACTTTTTGTAAGTTATATTGGTACTGACAGCTTGCAGCTCTTAAAGAGCAAGATAAAAGGATGAGGTGTTTTGCCGTTGTAGAAAAATAAGATGTCGGATTACGAATAGCTTTAAATGGAAAAATATTGCTAAATGTAGCTCCTCACTGCTGGCTTTATCCAAAATCCATTAAAGGCACAGGAGTTTTTTCATTGATTGCAGGGGGCTTTAGCTTAGGTCCCACTTTAAGCTGACCACAGTATTCTCAGGCTATGTCTACACTACACTGATCTATTGGAAAAAGATACACAAATTGTGCTGCACAATTTGCATATCTTTTTCTGACAGTTTTTTCGAAAGAGGCTTTTCCAAAATTTGGCCTCTCTATACTGCCCTTAATTTCAGAAATGCCTCCTTTTTTCACGATGAAGAAGATCCCTTCTTCATCGTGAAAAGAGGAAAACAGGGCTTCCAAAAGAGTGCATCTGCTCTTCTGCCAAAAAAAGCGGAAGAGCAGGCGTGTTCCCTGGATGCAGCGGAGTATGTCTACCTCCATAGTATAGACATAGCCTCAGTGTTAAGAGGCACATAATAGATAAAAACACCTAATTATGGAAGTGAAGTTATATAGATAATTTTGTCTAATATTTACCTGGTACTTTTCACTGAATACCTAGACTGCCTTTTTTGTTAAGTCTGATTATAAAAAAAAGACTTGTTTTCCAAAAAGTCCTTGGAAGAGCATGCTCATTGAAAAGGTGTTATAAATGGGATAATTTGTGGGTTGGGTTAGGAATTCCAAGAATGCTGATCTGGTCATAGAAAAGAAGGCAGAGGCTATTTCATAAGAAAGAAAAAGCATATGTGTTACTGTTTTCTTCACATAAAATGATTTTCAAGAAGCAGTGATTTCAGCATTTGAAAGCACTGCAGAAAATATGCCATTTGCTATTCCAAACAGTAACACAGTAACCCTGAACATTAATCCATCAAGAGCAATGTAGCATGCACAAATCCTTCTCTATCACTTATCCAATGCAATGGTGTTCCCATTTGACACGTCAATCTAAACATCTACAACTTATTCATTTAATAAAAATAAGCATGAAAGTTTCTTCTAGTAATAATATTAATGCTCTTATTATTTTTCTACTTTAAAAATGATATGGAATATGTGAAATTAGATCTACTTTTTGCTACAAAATTCCTATTTCCAACTATTGCTTAATTCATGTCCTTTGTTTTCCAAGTCTTGAAAAACAATTTCACCAAATACACTTGTGTGTACATGTGCCAGATGTTACATTCTCCTAGTAAGGCCCTCAACTTAAAACGTGACTATCAGGCACAACCGGTTCTCTATCAAAATAACTGATGGTTTGTTATGATGCGGGGTAGTAATTTTGGGATACCTCCAGTATACTGAAATAACCATGCAGTGTAGAAATAAGCTATTTCAAAACAGAATCAAAATAAGATACGCAATTCGCAAAATCTTATTTTGACTTTAGGGTGCTGTATAGATACACCCTAAGAGACAATGCAAGAGCATTAAATATTTTGTTTATTGTTCCTTCTTCTTGCTCTTCATAGAGATATGAATGACTAGTTGCTTCTCCCTCCTCCCCCCCTTGCTGCCTCTATAAGAAAGAGGCAGCTGGGGACCCCAGGCTCCATGTGGTGCTGCCGCTTTTAAATGGGAGCACGGGGTCAGCACCTTTGCCTTTGAAGTGTAGCAACAGCCCTAAGACTGTTGCTACACTTCAAAGGCAGAGGCACCCTAATCGACTAAGTGAATAGCTGATTATTGGATTAGCCCATTGGACTATTGGATTAGCCCATTAATCTAAATGTAACATTCCTAACTCTTGAGACCTGCCTCCTTCTTGCTCTTGGCTCTGCTACTCAGACAACATCAATAATTATTAATGAATGCCCCATATGTGTGTCAGAAACATAAGAGAACCACCATTAACTGTGGGATTTCAAGTAACTAGAATGCTGTAAATTGTGGTTGTGTTGTATTTGTTTTGTCCTATGAGCTGAACAACTTGATTGGCTCTTGTGCAACAGCCACTTTTCCACTCCACCTTTTAAGTTTTTAAACCTGGACATATTTTATAAGGTAAACCTAACATGCTTTGACATTGCAAACATGTACTCTTAAGGTTAAAGTCTGTTGTTCGATCTCTGGAAGCAAATCTTTCAAAATGTCAGCACATCTACCTACTAGCAGGAGAGCTGAAATCAGTCAGAATCTCTCTGCCCTTCATGTTCATCTCTGTGTATAAACAGGTTTAATAACACACACACTAGGTGCCATGTCACATCTGTGTGACATGCTTTTTCAATTCAGTAGCATAAATATTTCAGACACAACATATTTATATTCTCTCATTTTGGGAGAGCAAATACTCTGCTGTTTGAGTCTCTCACATGCTTTAAACAATTAGTTAAAGTGAACTTCAGCCAATTTGCACATCACTGTAATATGACATTTTAAAAGGTGAGAGCAACTTATTTTCTTCATACAATCAGCACCATTTTTATATTGATAGGTGCTTCATATAGTCTGAAGTACCACAGTACTAGCCTGTAGTATGTGTGTGTGAAGCACAGAGCATATGGGAGCAAACTTATTTATGTCACCGGACCTGAAAGCCATCACGAAATATCCACTGGTGACTACAGATCAACTGAGGTTGACAACTGTAACCACACTTAGCTGCTAATTATGACCCTTATCTCTTTAAGCCAATGGGAGTTTTGCTATTATTTCAATAGATGTGGAAGGACCTAATTGAGGGCACTTTTTTAAAGTGCCATCTCTCCTCTCCTGTGGCTGCCAGGCTTGTGTCAATGAAGTACGGGTGCCCCCTTTAAATTCATGTTTCTGTACAACCCCAAGTGGAACATATGCTACCAATCCTGGAGAAGATGTCCTGCATGGATGATGATGATGACGATGATAGGCGATAAATCACTGCCAAGTATGATAGTCTTCTGTGGGTGTTGTGGACCTTCAGGTGACTGATAAGGCTGATCCTTGAACCACAAGTTCTATTACAATGAGGACAGATGTTTCTAGGTACAGCAGGAGGCTGTTGAAATGACTAAAAGCCTGGCTCCCCTTCCTCCTTCGCCTCTTATCCCCCTCAGCTTGCTGGACTGGTGGGGAATTGATCCTGCTGGATGTAGTTACCCAGTAAAGACAAAAAGAGACAAGATTATTGTTAGGGAATCTTTTCTAGTCCCCTCCCCATATGGGTTGAGCAGGGTGAGTCCTAAAGAGGACTACTCAGCCATGGGTGCAGCTGCCAAGATGCTCGACCTGCCTCAGTCCTAAAGCAAGATGACTGAATCACACACCCACCACCTGTGTGTCGGTCTGTGACTAAAATCTTCCAGATCTCACTGTCCTATTCCTGTCAGTGATCGCCACTGGACTTTTGACTTGTGCAATTGCTGTTTACCCAAAAACTGGAAGATGCCAGTGCGGGACTCCTTTTAAAATGGGGAAACTGGTGCACAACAGTCCTTGACAGATAGAAGCTTAAAACCAATGGCATTGACACCATGATGATTGGAAATCCTCTATCTGCTTCAGCCTTCATCCACTTTCACAGCTGTTGTCACATTACACAACAGTTTCACCTCCATTGTGCAGTTATCCCCCATCTGCTCTGCCATTGAGGACTTCTTGGATCACACGTGATCTAGAACCTCGCCCTGGGCCATTCTGCCATGGGTGACCCTAATAGAGTACATGACTCCTGGTAGGGTTACTCTTGGGGTCATTGGAACACATAAGCCTCTCCACCACCACAAGGTAATGAGTCATGGGGAACCTGCATGGACAATAATCTGCAAATTGCACATTCTGTGCTATTTAGACTAATAGCTGTGGATGTGATGAAGTAGGGATGAAGAGAAAAAGTATTTATATTTTCAGTACCCAAGTGCATCAGAAACAAAGCCACTGCTAGCAAGTTCCCAAAGCTCATTCTTGGATGATCACGTTTACATTAAGGGATGCAATTTAGACTGTCTTCCATTGACAGACTCTGAAGACAAAGGATAAAAAATTCTCCACCCTTTAGTTCATTCAGGAATGAAAATGTATGAATGAATTTCTCATATGATTCATTGTCAGGGTAATTTAGTATTAAATGTAACACTTCACCCTGCTCCAGGTCTGTTAAGTGGGTAACTATAGATAATACAAATAAATTTGGATGGATGGACTTTATACACACACGGCAGTGTATCTGCTCCCCTCAAAGCTGCCTGCAGAATTCTCACTGGCTTTAATGTGAGCTGGAGGGGGGCAGCTCTAGTGAAAATATTTAAAGGGAGGTACCCTAACCTCATGCTTTGCACAATACAGTGTGCATGTATTGTGTCTTGCATTACAGGGTCTTGCATTAGCGTTGTCTATGTGAATGCACCCTGAAGTGGCTTAACAGCACCCTAGACAGATATGATTTTATGCTTACGGGTTAAAGCACATACCATTACACCTTATGTGATAACATTCTTTGAAATAAACTGTTATAAAGGAATCTATTGATTGAAAATATGAGTTCACGTAGCCTTAGATATGTAGATCTCCTAGGGCTAATCTTTCATACAAATATGCCATTTGCTTAGTTACCACTATTGAAGACTTTCAGATTTTATAGAATAATAACAAGTGCTCTAATCTTAGGTCTATCTTGCAAAATTAGTTTTGTGCTTCACATCTCAAGATGTTGTAGGTAGGATGGAAAAAACAATGTAAGCATTTGAATCCTTCCATGCAGCTCCGTTTACCTCTTGTTTATGGGCAGAGTGGGAGAATACATGCGTAACAATGGAAATGTAGTTAAGATTTGTCTTTTGGATCTATGACGAAAACATGCTCATATAAAATGGGCCTGGCTTATTGTTAGAAATCAATTATATATTTTAAAACACGGTGCAATCTCATCTTTTTTCCAGAGAGATTTCAAAGCTTCAAAGACCCCAGACTTTTGGCTAAATGAATAAAGAAGTGCCTGGTGCTGATTTTTTGCCCAGTATGACCTGTGCCATTCAGTTAAAGCGGAGTTTTAGTTAATCAGGAAAATAACATTATATTATTATGTTTTTGTCATAAATATCTTATTTTCTTTTATACTACTATTACAGAAATTCAAAAAGTATTTTTCAAACAGAAAATGAATGAGGCATTGACAGAACTTTAAGTACTACGTATTATAAATGCACTTCAGGTTAATTGAGGAGCGGGAACCAAGGCTGTGACACCTATAAGTAACATTAACTTGTACATGTCCTGTTGCAAATACAATATAAAAGCACTTCAAAAGACTGAAGAGGGGTAGCCCAGTTAGTTTGCAACTGGAAAAACTTAGAAAACAATTAATAGTCTATCAGCACCTAAAAGACTAACAAAACATGTAGATGGTATCCTGAGCTTTCGTGGGCACAACCCACATCTTCAGATGAATCGAGTATTAAAGGTCCAGTTCCAAACTAAATAGTAGAGGATGAGGGGAAGGGGGGGTGGCAGAGAAGGAAGGAGAAAATAGGAAAAAATTCAATTAGGGTATGTCTAGACTATATGCCTCTGTTGCCAGAGACATGTAAATTAGACTACCCAACATAGTCAATGAAGCTGGGATTTCAATATCCCTGGCTTCATTAAAATAAAAATTGCCGCTGCGCTGTGCCAGCTCAGCTGATCATCGGCATAGTGCGGCAGTCAAGACGCGGATTGGTCGACAGGGAATGCCTTTGTCGACCGCTCCCTTATGCCTCATGGAATAAGGTTTACAGGAGCGGTCAACAAAGGTGTACCCTGTCGACTGATCCACGTATTGACTGCTGCGCTGTGCCGATGATCAGCTGAGCTGGCACAGCGCAGCGGCAATTTTTATTTTAATGAAGCCAGGGATATTGAAATCCCGGCTTCATTGACTGTGTCGGGTAGTCTAATTTACATGCCTCTGGCGACAGAGTCATGTAGTCTAGACATACCTTTAGAGTGTTCATGTTACATGAAGGTGCAAGTTGTTCTTAAGTACCCATTGTTTGCTTTTAAAATCATTAGGATATGGAATAGTAATAGAAATGTAGCTGTGTTAGTCTGGTGTAGCTGAAGCAAACTACAGGACTATGTAGCACTTTAAAGACTAACAAGATGGTTTATTAGATGATGAGCTTTCGTGGGCCAGACTCACTTCCTCAGATCAAGAATTGTATCCTTTGGTATATATGGTTGTGACTATTTTCTTCCACTACTTGATCTGAGGAAGTGGGTCTGGCCCACGAAAGCTCATCATCTAATAAACCATCTTGTTAGTCTTTAAAGTGCTACATAGTCCTGTATTTTGCTAGGATATGGAAGGTACTGTGTTAGCCATGTAATGTCCTTATTCATACCTTTGTGATGGGTCCCAAACCTGTAAATTAAGTTAAATTCCAAGGCTTCCCTGTGTGTTTGGCATGTGGAATCAGCCTGAAACTACATGGTGACTTTGAGATCCATTAACGAGTGTCCAGGCAGGTTAAAGTGTTCTCCAACAGGTTTCTGTGTGTTGCTTTTTCGGATATCTGATTAGTGTCCATTAATTGTTTCCTGTAGAGACTTTCCAAACAATGGGTACTTAAGAACAATTTTCAACTTCCCTATCATATAACATGAATGCTGTAATTGATTTTTTCCTTTCTCTTCTCCCCCCATTCCCTTCTATTTATTCTATTTATTTTGGAACTTGACATTTAATACTCCATTCATCTGAAGAAGTGGGTTGTGTTCACAAAAGGTAGATGATACCATCTACATGTTTTGTTAGTCTTTCAGGTGCTGCTAGACTGTAGTTTTTTAATTTTTTTAAAAAATACTGTACGTGCTAAATCTAGAATTTGCAGTTTGCTTTAGGAGAGACAAAATGTATACATCATGGGGTTTGTTCTGCTTCCTTTAAGTTAATGGCAAAACCTTCTGTGATTTAATAGGAGCACATTGAGCTACCACTGCTTTTTGTATAGCTGAAGATAAGTGACAGGGACCACAGATCTCAGTAAATCTACACAGAGAGCACTCAGGCTTTTAACCTGGAGACCTCCATATTTCTAAGGCAAGGAAGTATGAACAATTGTATTTACAAAACACTATTGTTGAGCCTTAAAATACAATGTTTACTACAGCTAAAAAAAAAAAATGTTACTCAGCGGACTTCACCCTGCAAGATGGTAAATTTCCAAGGCAGTTGGAATGTTAAAGCTCCATTTCCCTATTTTATCCCAGCTCAAAAGCACCTTGACAAGAAGGTCAAGATTCACACACAAAGGGGTCTCCTATTGTAAGAACAGGTTTTTAACCCACTGTAAAAATGGCCAGTAGACCTTTGATATATAGGTAAAACCTTAAATCACAGTCTCTGGTTAAGCCTTTGCTGAAGCCTTGCTGCGTAGTAGAAGCAAAGACACAAGGCCTTGATGAGCCAATATAGATAACAGGAAGCTCTGGGAAAACAGGACCAACACAGAAAAGCAGCTCTGTCTGTTTATAAGCTAGGCAGCACAACACCAAACGGAAAGCAATAATAGGGTACCACTATCATGAATTTCACATACACACCCAAGGTTACGGCTCTGCAGAATGCCGTCCCTCCCTCCCCACACCAGTAGCATCTGGGGTGGGAAAGCACACCCAGATGCCTTCTCAAGGCCAATCATGAATTGTTGCCAAGGAACTAGAGATAGCACCCCCCTCCCTTTCACAAGACCAACTTACAAATTTATCAAAGGCATATTTTAAACAATTGCTTGCTGAGTACCTCACTCTGTTTTGTTTTTTGCTTTATACCCCTAGACAAGTACCTATGAACCGCACCCCACACCTGTCAGAAAAAGCACTGTCATCACTTCTGTGGATTCTAACCGGAATGTAGCTATGCATTGCAATTCTTGGTACTTATCTGTGTTTTAGCGACCATGTTAACCTGAGCCATGGGCGGAACTACTATGTAATCTTTTAGACGATTGGCTTTCTGTGCCTATTTTGCCTTCTGTGCCTATTTTGCCTTGCTGCTAGAACCTATCCAAGGGCTCAGAAACTCCCACCCTGTTGTTTCTCTGTGCCCTTCAGCCCCCTATATAGTCTATTGTAATTATTTGCTTGGCAGTGTTCGCTGAACCCAAGTGGCAAGGTGGCACTCTGCCAGCGCTGTGTATAATAAACCCTCCTGCTTGAATCTACACGGTGTCTATATTTTTGGTTTCCAACATCTATAGCTCTGTGTATAAACTCCAGTATATGTTCAAGCCCTGGGTAAAGGCTTCAGGGTTTGTCCCTAAGCACACAGATCATAAATGAAATGTTGTCCACCATTGGCTGGAGGGTAGGATACAGGAAGACAGGTCAAGAGCATACTACTCAATTCTGGAAGGGGAAATTATGCATACACAAAAGGTATCAATGGACCTCTCACATTCATGTAGAACAGGCAAGACATTGGTTTTCCAAGACTAATCCAAAGGATGTGACACAGAAATTCACAGAAATAAGTTTAAATACCTCAAAAGATTGGAAGTAGGGATTTAACCTGGGAATACCCACAAAAGCATTTCAGACCTGATACGTATTCAGGGAAGCCATCCCCTTGTCTCAAGAGGACGTCACCCTTCTAGTCCAAATGTTCTCCACTCAATTTCCTATCCTAGCTACTAAGAGAGAGGATTTTAGTGAACTATTCTTCCTGCAGCTGTGTTTATTTCCCCATCCCTGCTCTACACTAGGGGATAAATTTGAATTAAGATATGCAAGTTCAACTACGTTAATTGTGTACCTTAAGTCTAAGTATTTTAACTGGAAGTTTGGTACCACCCACACTGCGGGAAGTCAAAGGGTGAACACTCTCCCTTCGACTTCCCTTATTCCTCACAGAAACAAGACTGCCAGTATTAATGAGAGCACCCTCTCAGTCTGAATTAGTGCGTCTTCACTAGACCCACTAATTAGAACCCTGGAAGACCGACTGCGGCTACTTCGATATTATCTGCGGTGTAGATATAGCCCCAGTAAAAAATAAATTTTAATGCTCACTATTATTTCTAGACATGAAAATGAACATCAGACTTCAAATGAACAGCCAAACCATCTCAGAGATTAATAGGACTTTAGTTTGGTCCATTATGACGGCAGAGGTCAATTACTTAATATAGCTCTGGGTTGGATCCACAATGAACTTTTGATTCAGGCACACCTTACAATTATTTCCGTAGAATAGTTCCCCGTTCCCTCCCAAAGAAAGTATTGAGCTTTTTTACTGATTCTCTCTTTTATTTAGTTATATAAGAACATACTCAACGTTCAAAATGGGTTTTGTAGTTCATTTAATGCTCTAGATACACTCCTGTGCTTAATCAAGTATAAAAGCCATTTATTACTTCTCAGAATCAAACTCCATTAATATTATCATTTAACTACATGGGTGTCCAAAGTCATAGTTCTATCTGTGGTTTGTGTAGATACCGTTTTGTTTTGTTTTTTTAAATTCTAGTGACTAAGAGTAAAATTATGGCTACAAATGTATGTTGTAAAATATCCACAATGCTCCTTAATTATGAGAAAAACAGAATTATCTCAATTATTCCTACCCTTTACTTTTCCCAACAGGTCTTGTTCTTTAGAGTTACGTCTACACTGGCATGATTTTCCAGAAATGCTTTTAACGGAAAAGTTTTCCGTTAAAAGCATTTTCGGAAAAGCGCGTCTAGATTGGCAGGACGCTTCTCCGCAAAAATACTTTTTGCGGAAAAGTGTCCGTGGCCAATCTAGACGCTCTTTTCCACAAAAAAGCCCCGATCGCCGTTTTCGCGATCGGGGCCTTTTTGCGGAAAACAAATCTCTGCTGTCTACACTGGCCCTTTTGTGCAAAAGTTTTTCAGAAAAAGACTTTTGCCCGAACGGGAGCAGCATAGTATTTCCGCAAAAGCACTCACAATCTTACATGAGATCGTCAGTGCTTTTGTGGAAATTCAAACGGCCGGTGTAGACAGCTGGCTAGTTTTTCCGGAAAAGCAGACGCTTTTCCGGAAAAAGTGGCCAGTCTAGACACAGCCTACATGTTTACTTTAATTTAAGACCACTGAGGGGCAGCATTTTTCATTTTGGTGGCTCACCAAATACACTGTCAATATGAAATTAATAAAGTAACTGAATACCGCAAAAAGGCATTTTCATCACTTTAAAAATAATCTATGGAAGTGATTTGATTGATTTAAACATTTCCACACAATGTCACAAATCCAAATCAAGCAATACACTTGTCAGGAGAACCAGAAAGAGAAACTATCTAGAAACAAAAGAAACAGGGATCTAGTGCTGTTCATTGGATTCCTACTGCTTCTATTGCCTTGGAAGAGAGAGCCCACAAAGAGAACATGCCTTTAAAGGGCACAATGCTGTCAGGGGTATCGGAGTCCCGGAACAAGTATAGTGTGTCTGGCTTTCCTCAGGGAAAACCTGTAATCCACAGACTTCAGCTCAAGATTTCCTTTGGTTCACAGGGTGTTGCAAGGCTGCATCCATTCTCCTTCCCCATCTGTTAGACTTCAAATCCCTCTACTCCAAGACGGGAATTCCTCAGAAGTCACACGACTTCAGCCTTATAGTAGCTTTGAAATATTCTTTTCTCTCCCATGGGAAAGGTACGATCTGCCCATCATTTATAGGGTAATTCACAGGTTTATTCTGACTGTAACCTTTTAAAATGTACAAAGAACAGATTGGATGACCCTATGGGGGCCTTTCAGTCTCAGCTGGCAATTTTAAATTCTTTAATCATTACAAAATGTCTGTTTATAAGAACTTGATAAGGGTTAGCCTAATAACAAAAATGCAAACGTAGCTTATCCCAATCTGATAAAATTCCTAACATCTTTTCAAAAGCCGTCGGGTAAAACCTTTCAGTAAAACAGCTACTGAATCTCAATGATCCCCAAACCTCTTCAATTTCAGCTTTAGACAAAAGAGCAAAGGAGGACTCACCAGGTGACATTTCCATGTCATGTCTACTCTGTTCTGTACAAAAACTCCTTTTGCTTTTTAAAGCTGATTAGACACAGTGCAGTCTTGATTCTTTGTGAGGCATCTTGCATATTTTTATAAATCTAATTACTTGTTTTGAACTCTCCGAATTTCATTAGCAGCAAGATTCTCAAATGTAAAAATATTTTCCCTCATTCATTATCAGAGTATAGTACTGAGATGATAACTAGCAGTCAGCAGTCACCAAAAAGAATAAAAATTCTGCATATTTTATTGATTACTACAAATTGCAAGAGCTTATACTGTATTTATACTGTATAGCATTCTTCATCCTGCAATATCCTTAAGTGCTTTACACACTGAAACTGTATAAGATCACTAAAATATACACCCCATGGTGAAATATAGTCAATGTTTAATAATGCACATCAGTGCTTTAGGACAGGGAGAAGGGAATGTAAAATCCATTTTAAAACATCTACAACACACGAGCTGTTCCTTAGGGCCATTCTACTGAATTTAGTGGGCTTTGGATCAGGCCCATGAAAAGTGACATCTTTAATTAATACAAGTCATTTTCGATATATCATCTAAATGACTCATCTTCAACATCATATTATCTCCTACTATCATCCTAGTAGAATAGTTCACCGATGAACTTAAAAGTGGCACTTGCTGAACCTCCGACATTTGCAGCCTGTCCTGCCACACCCATGACACTCTGCAATTCACGTAATCATCTAGAGAAGTGCTACTTAGCCAGCGATATCTCATGGAGAAGCAGATTTGGTTGGAAAGAGCTAGAGAGCTCAGCCTTTTGTTAATGCTAGTAGCATTTGTTCCTTAGCTCCATCCTTGCCTCTGTGCCAGAATACAGGACAGGATTGGGACCTATGTACAAATTCTGCCTCTGTCCAGTTTTCTAAGATTTTCCAAAAACAAGCTTGGAATTGATAGATTAAACATAGTGTCAATAATTGCCTAGCATACAGTCCTCTAGGCTCCATGAACACTGAAGATTTTGTGAGATTCTCTTACTGTTACTCTAAACCCAGTAAATCGATACTCAATGATTGCTCCAGTATAGAATGGCTTCTAGTGTTTATAATCATGTCATCTAACCTTGCTCTGATTCATGATTCAACATTTCTGATTAATGTAATAAAAGTGTTGAAGAAAAAAAATTAAATCCAGTAATCCTCCTGCAAAACCAGAGAAGATCAATTGGACAGCCCTTGGACTTAAAGCAAAAATGAGCAAAATACAGAAATCCAACATGCCTCTCTGACACATGAATAAAAAAGCAAAAGCTGACTCTAGCCTAGGGTTGGGGATTTTTAGGTCCTTTACAGGTCACATTTAATAATCATACTGGGGTTTTTTTTCTAGTCAATTGCTATATTATACCCTGTAGCTGTAGCCCAAATTAGAACTGTCTGTACTTCACCCTCATGTAATCAGTTGATCCACTAGGATATAACAATTTAAAACCACAATAGTAACAACTGATGGAACTACTCGTTGAGCTCACGT